CAGCGGTCCCTATCTTTCAGTGTTGTGCTCCCTCCCACTGCACCTACTCTGACGTTTCTGCCACTGTCGCTAAGACAGCCCCTGCAGCTGAGATCGCCGTTGCGGCCTCAGCGCAGCCGCGTCAGGGGAGGGGACGCCGCCCCAAGGGGGGGCGTGGCGGAGGGAAGGGTGTTGGGGGTGGTGGGGGCTGTGTGGGTGGGGGCGAGGGCGGTGGTTCAGATGAGGGGACCGGGGCTGGTGCCCTGGAGAAGCAGCAGCAGCAGCCTCAGCAGCAGCAACCGCAGTCGCGGCAGCAGCAGTCGCGGCAGCAGCAGTCGCAACAGCAGCAGCAGCAACCGCAGCAGTGGGGCCGCCTCCCGCCGATGTGGCCTGGTGCCTCTAGTGGTGGTGGCCGCAGTGTCGGCCCTCACAGCTGAGCGCTGGGTGGTAGCTTCGACTCTGTAGGTTGCCAGAACCAGCTCCAGACCGGCCCCCTCTGTGGCACTGTGTGTGGTCGTCCCAGCCACACTGCCGCCCGCTGCTTCCGCCGCTTCGACGACCTCTTCCATCTCCGCTTCGGCCCTGCGCCGGATCTATTCAACTGGCCCAATCTGATACGCCGCCGTGTTCTGGTCTTTGAGATGGATATGGATCAGCTTTGCTCTCCCTTGCATGCCATGTATGCTCATGACTCTAGTGTACCCGAATCTTATTACCATGTGTTGCCTAGAGTAGGTGTGTCACCTGAGTGTAGTGTAGGCTCCCCTGCTGCGTCAAGCGTAGGACCGTCTGCCTTGTTTAGCCTAGGCTCCATGCTAGCCCCTCCGACGGCTGCCGCCATCGCTTCGCTCTCTTTCATGCTCGACTCTGGTGCATCTGCATGTTTCTTCCGGACCACACTGTGCTCACGCCACTTGCCGCCCTTTCCGCTATCGCGCTAGCTGACCCCACCTCAGGTCCGGTAGTTGACCGTAGCTCCACTACCCTTCCCTGTCCGGCGGTTCCCTCGGGCTCTCTTATAGGCCTGCACACCCCCTCGTTCTCCAAAAACCTACTTGGTGTCAGCTGTCTTCAAGACCTCGGCGTCACCACTACGTTTCCCGGACACGAGCGGTACGCGGTCTGTATTGAGGCCGCCAAAGGTGCTCCCCTCACCACGTTCCCCCGGGACCCTGTGTTTGGGTTGTTTACGCTTGACACTTCGTCCCCCTTGGTAAGGGAACCTCCCCAGGTACCTGAGTCTACCCAGGTCGCTGCGGCTTGCTCGTGTCGGTCCCTCACTCACCCGTCGCTTCTGTGGCACCACCGCCTATGTCACCCCGCCCTCCCGCGCATGCGTCACATCTCCCAACACGGTCTTGTCCTAGGTCTCCCTACGTCGTTCCCTGCCCTCCCTCCCTTGCCTGCGCCGCCGTGCACGCCCTGCATAGAGGGCCGACTGCACCATGCTCCTCACTCCTCCTCGCTTCGCCCTGCCACCGCGCCACTCCAGACCCTGCACCTGGACGTCTGGGGCCCAGCCCCCGTTCCCAGGCCTCGTCGCGAGCGCTACTTCCTAGTGCTTGTTGACGACTACAAATACTACACCACTGTGTTTCCCCTCGAGGACCGACGTGACTGATGTTCTTATCCCGTGGGTGGTCGCTGCACGAGTCCACCGCGGCCTCATCGTGTTGTGTCTCCACTCCGACCATGGTGGCGAGTTTACCTCCAGTCGGCTTGGCATACTCTGTCGTGCGGACGGCATCACCCAGTTGTACACCCTGCAGGACTCGAGACTCTGCCAGTAGACCAAAGGCTCTCGGCTCCTGTCCCTGACGAGTCAGTAGACCCTAGTGGTTCGTACGCTGAGCTAATGGGTTGCCTCATGTACCTGATGACTTGCACTCGCCCAGATCTCGCATACCCTCTCAGCATGCTGGCTCGCTTTGTGGCAATAGGCAGACACCGACCACAGCACTGGTCGGCCAGTAAGAGGGCTTTGCGTTATCTAGCAAGTACATCGGGCATGGGGCTAGTGCTAGGAGGACGCAGGCCAGTGGTCCTTACAGGGCACACAGACGCTTCGTGGGCGGACGACGCTGAGACGCTCAGGTCCTCCCAGGACTACTGTTTTAGCCTTGGTGCAGGCGCCATCTCGTGGAGGTCCACCCACTCGTCGTCTGTTGCACAGTCTAGCTGTGAGGCTGAGATCTACGCCGGTGTCATGGTGGCATAGGAGCTCTGCTTGCTGACCTTTTTTCTCACAGACTTAGGTGAGTGGCCTAGCTCTCCCCCAATCCTGTACGCTGACAACAGGGCCATGATCCTCCTGTGTCATGAGCCTCAAATCGAGGGCAGAGCGAAGCACATCCAGCTACGGTACTTCCTCCTGGCGAGCTACAGCAGCGCCGCCAGGCCCGCGTAGTACAATTGACTTCGGGCGCCAACACAGCTGATATATTTGCTAAGGCGCTTGCACCTAAAGATCATCAGCGGCACTGTGTATAGCTTGGTCTAGTTCCTGTAGCTCCTCACTTCCTAGGGCCTTGATTGTATACTACTCTTTTATATGTATATTCTCCTGACTGGCCTTGTGGCTACTGTTCCAGTGGCCGAAATAGTAGTGCCGTCTTGGTTTGCTCTTGTCTTGTTTACACCATTGCTGACTGGTCTTTGGACCCTTGCCTCAGAGGCTGGTCTAGTTGTGATGCCCTGAGCTTCATGTCAATTGCCAGGTATTGCCCCTTGTCTAGCCTAGGGGGTGTGTCAACATATATTTGTATATGTTTATAGGCTAGCTAGGAGCATACCATAGAGAGTACAACACTTTGAACAAATCTACCATGTATGCCCTGTGCTAGTCAACTCGTTTCCTTGGGACCCCGTTCTCCGCAGCTGTGCCACCGCCGTGTGAGACACGGACGGTGGGGCTCGTCAAGCGGGAGTGAGCGTGCGGGCAGTGGTCGCGCCACGGAGGCGCCTGCGCCGCCTGCTGGGCCATCCACTCTCGGAGGAGTCCAGTGATGGACGCCAGGGCCTCCTGGTGGTACAGGCGGATGGTGTCCGCCACATGCCTTGCCCCCGTCATAGTCGCGGTGTCGCTTACGCGTCGCCGCGGGGTAGTTGGTGTGCCCTGCTGATTCGGGGCTGGAAACAAATTTGGTTGCAATTAGTCAGGTACTTAAAGAATCCAGCTTGCATTTCCATGTTCTTCAGGCAATAACGAACTGTGCATCATGTCAGACTAGTGTCGTATAAAAGGCACAGGCGCGCTTAACGGCGGCAGACTTGTTAGGGTTGGTGTGCCAGCTGGTGCCAATAACATGCATTCCCGCCTCCACGGTGACGTCCTCTGCGCCCGCACCATCGAGGGCGTTCGGGTCAGCGGCGGCTGTGTCGTGCTGATTCAGCTCCTCGTATTCCCACCACGGCGACTTGCACACTGCGCCGCCGCCACTTCCTGTGTCGCCCTTGCGGATTTGCTTCCACTGGGCCACTAGTTTGCGTTAGTGCTTTTCTAGAGCGTTGGCGTAACCGCACCATCCTTCGTTCTCGGCGACGAAGTGCGCATCGACCACCACAACCCCGCAGCGTGAGGACACTCCTTCACCTCCCCCTTGCCCTTGCTGTCGCTTGCAGGTGGGGGTGGCGAGCCATCGCCCGCTTCCTCGTCGCAGTCCGTTTCGTTGAGCTCGTCGACGTCATCGTTGTCGTCCGTGCCGACGCCGTACTGCATAAACTCCTTGTCCGACTCGTCATGCTGGGAACTAGCGCCGGCGGAGTGAGTTGGGCCAGCAATAGTCGTGAAACCGTGCTGACGCGGAGTAGCCGTGGCGGGAGTAGGGGACGGGACGCGGCTTATTTTTTGGGCTGCCCGGTTCGCTGATTAGACTGCATGGAGGGATATTCTGCTCTGAACATTTGGGAGCATGCGGCTCTTCACTGCTGTCGCAAGGTGGGCTGCTGTTGGTTGTTTCAAGAAGCGGACTTCGTGGTACCCAATTGGGTTGATTCAATCTTCGCATAATTGCGGCGCGCCAAACTGACGATTGGCAACATAGGTGTTAACCTTTCGTCACTTTACAAACTGACGTGACGAAAGGCTTATAGGAATGTACCCTAAGCACAAGGCATATGGTCTAGGCTAGGAAGAGATGAGTCATGTAACGAGAAAATGTCTCGTAGTGTACTCGATGAGCAAAGCGCACGAAATGCATGCGGCTTGGATATGGGCCACATTTGGGTGATGCGATTTGAATTTAGATGGCATGATACTTTGAGTAGCACAGGCAAGGCACCCTGACAATGCGGGTCTTGTTGTGAGACATCCACTTTCGGGAATCGGAAACACGCGCCTTGCGAAGAATGCGTGTCCTCGCGAACAGGTTACTCTTTTTTACCACTCATCGTCGGCCAAACATCAAAGCTGGCTCGGGCCTAACTGAGAGTTTCATTGGCTCCGAAAATAGCGGTTCTCACGACATTCCTTAGCCAAGTCACCGGCATTTCGCGCATCTCGCTCGTGCTCCCAACGCAAATGGTTGGTTGGCTTCAGATCTTCCATTTTCGCGCCTTCACCAAGCTCCGTCAGCACTGCTTCGTTGGGTGGTCAGGTTCGTGGCGTATCCCCGGCCTGAGAATCCGAGCCGAGCCGCCAATGTCCCCCCTCTGATTGATCAACAGCACCTAGCCGAGCCAATGAGGCCAACCAGCTTCCCAAACCACATCGCCGAACGTCACGAGCCAACCAACATCCAACGACAGACCTCTTTTGCTCTGACCCCTCCCAGACTGACCAATCATTTCACGCAGCCAAGATTCGCGGCTCGCCATCCCAAGCCTAACCAGCCTCTCCGCACCTTCCACCACCCTTCCCGCCTTTCCGACTGCGGGTCCGGGGGGAACCCGCGTCGGATGGATCTCGTTCATTGCTGCCTCGGCAGCGATCGACTTGACTGAATTGATGCCTCCAGCGAAAGGATCGGAGTTACGGACATACCGACAGGGGTTTGCCCCCAGTTCCCAATCATCGTCGTGACTGCTGGAGTGTTTCGTTGGGTTGGGGGGGCAAAGACTCCAGAGAGAGACACCCACCGAAACCGAATTCGAAATCCTTTCCTTCCTGGTGACAGCTTGGTGTGGTGGCGGGATAATACGTATTGCGGATCCACTTCGTACCGCTGCCGACGGGATCGTTGGTCTGGACTGGACGTGACGTGCCCTGCTGACCTTCTGCTCCTTACCTCTCTTTAGCTCATTCCACCTCTGCTACTGCAGCACGAGCCGGTGCCCTGGAGAAGCCGCAGAAATAGCTACGCGGTAGAAGCTTACTGCCTTAGTACGCTTTTCGCCGGAATACCAGGCCCGAGTGACAGAGCCAAGAGATCGTGTAGGAATCCTAAGGAGGGAGAGATAGGCAGTGAGGAGGGGAGCAGAAGCTGAAGGAGGAGGAGGAGGAGGAAACACATACATGGCCGAGCCAAGACGGCCTTCCCCTCACGGGGGGCTTGCATGGCTGCTGCTCGTGCTGTGCGCCACGGTCGCCGCCAACATCCTTCTCTCGCACGCAGCCACGACCGACCAGGAAGGTGAGCTCGCAAGGGAATGCACGGGAATGCAAGGGAAGCTTTTACGTTTTCTGACGCGCCTCGAAGTACACACGGGCTGTCAACGTCCTTCCACGACAGACCAGGACGGCAGGGCCGCAAGGGAAGCCCAGTGCTTCTTTAGGACGTCAGGAAACAACCTATAAGACAAGCGAGCAAAGAAGCGTTCGCGCTGAAAGGAAGTAGGTGGTAGGAGCGTTCGCAAGCACAGTCGCTGGCGGAGGCGAGTAGGGCCCTCGGAAACGCGAGAGTTACTTTTTGAGTCGACTCTCGAGGCCCCACACGTTGCATGGCACGCACGTTGGCTGCATGCCGCGCGGCACATCGTCTCAGCAGGGGGCAACATTATCCACAACCAGAGCACGCCCGCTTGGCTTGTCGCGGCGACCCGTAGATACGCGACCCGTAGATATGCGACCCGTAGATATGCGACCCGTAGATACCGTATCCTTCTGTAGACACCCATAGCCAGCCATTGACACATAGTCAGCCATAGTTAATTCAAGCCTGGCTCGAGCGTGGATGATGACAGTCCTCACGGGCTGGCTCACGACACGGAACGGGAATGCTGCGAACCGTCACTAATCTCCTTCTTTTCCAAACGCCGTTCTTTCCTTCCCTCCCTCCTCTCCTCATGAGCCTTCGCCTGATGAACATCCTTCGCCAACCTGCCTTATTCGCCCTCCTAAATCTCCCTCCTTCTCTCCCTTCCCATCCTTACACGTCACCTCCCTTCCCCACGTGCCCTTCCCCACCTCCACCTCCTCCACCTCCTCCTCCTTCTCCTCCGTGTTCTCGCACGGGCCGCCTGCCCTCCCTCCCCACCCCCTCCCCCTCCGCGCGCGCGCGGCAGTGGCGGCGCTGAACAAGATGAAGGACACGCTGGGCCCCGCGAACCTGTTCGTGGGGTGGGTGGGCGACCCGTGCGACGGCATGTGGATCGGCGTCATCTGCGACATCAGCTCACCGCAACACGTCATCGGCATGTAAGTCGCGCGACGCGTCATAGGTATGTAACTCGCCACGCGTCGTCGGCATGTAAGTCGCGACGCGTCTTCGGCCCTCCGTTATCGGCCATGCCGTCTGTTTTGTCTTCTTCCCTCTTTATCTCTTATACGTCTCTGGACAGTCTAGTCGGCTTCATACCGTCTGCTGTGACTCCTTAACGCTCTCATCAGGAACACCTCCTTCCCCGCACCTTCCTTCTAACCTCTTCTCTTCCCGTCTTGCCACAACCTTTCCCCCCCTTCCGCCTCCCCATCCCCCTCCGCTGTCCACGTGTCTTGTCTGTTCGTCGCGTCGCATCAGCAACTTTCAGTCGCTCAACGTGGACGGCACGCTCGCCGATGACGTCAGCCGCCTCACGTCGCTTCAGATCCTGTACGTTCCTCGCCCCGCCCACCCGCCTGATCCGATTTGATCTGATCTGATCCGATCTGATCTGATCTGAGGCGCCTCGAAACCCAAAACTCGCCTCGCCTCGAGTGAACCGATATGATCTGATCCGATCCGATCTGATCCCCGGTGCAGGAGTAGATGAGAAGGGTTGCTCCCTCCCTGGCTGTTGTTCCGCTTTCTTCCCCGTTGCTCTCTTCGTCCCCGCACCATACCCCTCCCCACCTCTCCCCTTATCCCTCTCCCTCTCCGCCCTCCCACTTCTGTCAGCGTCCGCATACCCTCCCTCGCGTTACCGCACTCCTGCAAACTCTCAGCCACTCACCTTCTGTTCTGTGACCCATCCACTCATCTGTGTACGTTTTTCCCTGCGCGCGTGTTTGTCCGTGCGCGCGCCTGTCTCCGTGCGTCCCCCTGCGCACGCGCGAGCAGCAACGTGGCGGCCAACAAGTTCACGGGCAAGCTGCCCAAGGCCATCAGCACGCTCTCCAACCTGCAGCACCTGTACGCGCTAAGAGCACACTGGGGGCCTGGGGGGTGGGGAGTTGGGGAGGAAAGAGGGGGGGGTGGGGGGGAGAGGGGAGGGGGTTGGGGATGGAAAGAGAGGGGGGGGGAGGGAGGAGGGAACGGGAGGGAGGGGTTGGGGTTGTGGAAGTGGATGAATGGGTGGGGGAGCCGGGAGCCGTGAGGGGAGAAAGAAGGGGAGAAGGGGGAGTGGTTGCGATCCTCGGGGCGGGAGACCGGGGGGAGTGGGAGAACCGTGAAGCGAGGATGTGTGGAGGATGGATGCAAGGCTGGTATCACACGTTCTTCCCCCCCCGTTCCCCCCCCCCCCCGGTCCCCCTCTTCCGGCCCCTGCGCCCGTGCCTTTTGGTCGTGCTCTCGATCCCTCGCGCCAATGCATCGCCCGCAATCGCGTCTCCGCTTCCTGTTCCAACCCGTGACTCCTCCTCTCATCCTCTCCTCCCGTGTCTCTGTGTGTGCATGTGTGCGTGCGAGCAGCGATGTGAGCGGCAACACCTTCGACGGCAAGCTGCCGGACGCTTTCAGCCAGCTCTCCGCCCTCACACACCTGTCAGTCCCCCTCACCTTCCACGCCCCCCTCCCCCGCTCACTCTTTGGGCGCCGCCTTCGCCTACCTCGTAGCCACCGTGATGCAGGGCTATCGCCGCCTCGCCATCGCGTCACCTTGTGAACCGTCCCTTGCGTCACGCGTTAGGTTCCCTTCTCAGCCGCGGCTTCCTTGCTCTGTTTTTTCCCCCTTATCCTTTCTCCCGCCCCTCCTCCCCCCCTCTCTGCATTGCTTTGTCTCCCGCGTGTCTCTCCGTCCGTGCAGCGACACGAGTCAGAACGCCTTCGTGAGCGAGCTGCCCGCGTCTCTCAGCGCGCTCTCCAACGTGCAGTACATGTGAGTGGGTCGACACGCGCGTGAAGCGCACGAGTCGTATGAAACGCGGGTGAAGCTCGTGTGAGTGAGATGAAACGGGCGGTGCCGTAGACGTGAGTCGGATGGACAGTGGTTGGTGGTGGATGTGAGGCAGATGAAACGCAGATGAAACGTAGTCCAGTATATAAAACTGAGAGTGTGATGTGAAGCAGTGAGAGGGGATCGGGCACGTCAAACGAACGAGTCGTGTGGCTCTCTCTCTCCTCCACCCTGCACCGCCACATGACTCCTTCTCTCCTTCTTCCCCGTTTGATGTCCAGCCGCCTCCTTGCTTCTCCTCCCCCTTCTCCCCCCCTCTCCCTCGCTCACCCTCGTACCCTCTACCCCCCATGCCTCTCGTTGGTGCTTTAGTTGAGCCCCACTCACATGCGGAATACGCCTCCTCGTTCGTTCGCTCTCCCTCGCCGCCGCCCCTTAGCGCACACTCCTCTTGAGGCGCCTCAAATTCGCCCCTTGGCGCTCTCTCCCATTGAGGCGCCTCAAAAATCGCCTCTTTGCGCTCACTCCTCTGCTCTCATCTCCACGCGTCTCACACTTTACCTCTCGCAACATTCCACCCTTCCCTCCCCCCGCCCCTGTCCCTGTTCCCCATCCTGTCCTGCTACCTCACCCCATCCCCGTCCCCCTTCCCCTTCCCCCGTTCCCCTTCCCCTTTCCCCTTCCCCTTCCCCTTCCCCTTCCCCCTTCCCCTTCCCCTTCCCCTTCCCCTTCCCCTTCCTCCTTCCCCCCTTGCAGCAACCTGGCCAACAACAAGATCTCAGGGTCACTGCCGGACAACCTCGCAGGACTCTCCTCCCTCACCTACCTGTAAGCCTCGCGCCCTCATTAGCCGCCCCCGCCGTACTTACTGATAGGCTACTAGCTCATTCCGTGCCAGATCTCCCCGCATCCGCTTCTGCCCTACCCGCCTCCCTCCTCCTCTCCGCCCCTTGCTCTTCTTTCCCCCTCCTCCCCCCTCCGATTCCCTCCCCGCCGCGATCGCCCCCCCCTACCTCTGCCCGCCTCTGCATACCACCTCCTCCCATCTTCCTCCCCTTTCCGCTTCCCCTTACCCCTCCCCCTTCCCCATACCCTTACCCGTTCCCAATACCCCTTCCCCTTACCGCTTCCCCTTCCGCTCCCCCTCTCCCTTTCCCCTCCCCCGCCCCCGTCTCCCCCCCCCCGCCTTCAGCTCCGTGGCGGACAACAGCATGACGGGCACGCTGCCGGCGTCGCTGGGGTCGCTGCCGAAGCTGTCGAAGCTGGACCTTTCCAACAATGCCTTCACGGGGCCCGTGCCCACCACCTACAAAACCATCACCGACCTCGTGTAAGCGCCCCAACGCCCCAACGCCCCAACGCCCGCGCCCGCGCCCCCCGCTCTCAGACTCCCGCTCCCACACACCCGCTCTTTTTGTTCCCCGCGCTCATGTGTCCGCCCGCCTGCCCGCCCTCCTGCGCTCCCGCGCTCCCGCGCTCCCGCCTGCCCTCTCTCACGGTCGCGTCTGGTCGGGAGGATATGGCCGGGGTCCGTCCGATAGGTGTGGCCCTAGTCTTGGTCTTGTGACGCGCCAGCCAACTAGTCCAAGTCTCGTGCCTCACCTCTTCCCTCCTCCGCCTTCTCCTCCTCCGCATTGCTGTCCTTCTCTCTACTCCGCCTTCCTCCCTCCCGCACTCCCTCCGCGTACGGCCGCTCATGCCCCGCATTCTTCCCCTTCCCCTCCCCCTCCCCCTCTTCTCTCCCCCCCAGCACTACTGGCACGAGCGTGGACGGCGCAGCAGCAGGTGCGCCAGCGCCCGCGTCAACAGGGGCAGTCGACTCCCTGCCCGCTCCCGCCCCTGCTCCCGTCGCCAATGCAACCGCCCCCGCCCCCGCTCCCGCATCCATTCCCGCGCCTTCCCCCGCCCCCCCGTCCCTCCCCGCGCCTCCTCCCGCCCCCCCGTCCGTCCTCGCACCAGCCCCCGCTTCCATCCCCGCAATAGCCTCCGCCCCCGCGCCCGCATCCCTTCTTGCGCCCGCCTCCGCCTCCGCCTCCGCCTCAGCGCCTTCCCCCCTATACGGATCCCCCGTCCCCGCCCCTTCCCCCTTGATGGGCTCCCCCGTTCCCGCGCCTTCCTCCTCCCCCTCCGCCGCTCCCCCGTCCACAAGCGCGCCTGCCCCCACACCCTCCACACTCCCCCCTCTTGTCCGTCCGCCAAAACCGCTTAAGTCCCCTCCGCCGCCCAAGTCTCCCCCCCCTCCGCCTCCCCCGTCCCCTCCGCCTCCTTCCCCTTCCCCGCCTCCCCCCGTGGTTTCTCCCCCCCCGCCTCCGCCTGCGCCTGCTGCGAGCTGTGGGGGATGCGGGGAGGGGCAGGTGGGGTGGGCGGAGGCTAGTGATGGGACGGGGCAGTGCGCGTGCGTGTACCCGTTATTGTTCACGCTGCGACTGGGGATGAACTATAACGCGTTCAGCCAGGAGAAACAGCTGGTGAGTGGGCGTGTGTATGTATGTGCGTGTCTGTGTGGATGTGTGGATGTGTGGATGTGTTGATGTGCACACGCCAAGAGCCAGAGAGAATGAGCGAGCAAGCAAGAGACGACTTCTTCTCCATCTCTCCCTAGCAACAGCAAACTTCACCCTCACTCCGCCCCTCCCCACCCCTCCCCACCCTTCACCAGTCCCTGGAGGAGCAGCTAGCGTCAGGCTTCTCGGTCCAGCCGGGGCAGGTGCGCACGCAGCAGACTCGCCCGGGCAGCGTGATAGCGGACCTGGCAGTGGGGCCAGAGGTGCCCACGACCATGCTGGACCAGCCGACCGTGGACCGGATTACGGGGATCCTGTACGGCACCAACGGGAGTATCAGCCTGAGCGGGTTTGGGAGTGTGACGGTGGAGCAGCTAGTGCCGCCGAATCAGATCGCCCGCCCGGATGATGGCTCTGGTGAGTGTGAGTGACGTGTCTTGGTAAGGGGAGAAAGGGGCGAGAAAGTCAATGCGAGAGAATGAGACACAGCAACCGAGCTACACGAGGTGGTTTTTCAGGGGACTTGGAAATCACCGAGCCACATGGGGCACAGCCAAGGAAGCAAGCCGAGCATTGTACCAATCAAACAAACAAACCCACCCCCCTCCCCACCCTTGAAATTGAAGTGCCCCGCTCTTGTTGCTGTGGGTACTCTGCGTGTGCATAGTAATTCCCACATGTGCAATGAACCCCACTGACCTTTGCTCACGTCTACACCATCACTAGCAGGGTGGCCGTGGCAGGCTTTGCCCCCTCCTTAACTCCTACCCTCTCCCTCTCCCTCACCCCCGTCTTAAACTCTTACCCCTTCCCTCTCAACCATCCCAAACTCCCTCTCTCCCCTGACAGTGCCCGCCCCCCCATCCTCCGGGCAGCAGCCATCCCCTCCTGTGGCTTCAGCCCCAGCGCCCTCCTCCTCCTCCTCGTCAGGCGGGTGGTCCATGGCGGCTATTATCGGCGTGGCCGTGGCGGGTTTTGTGGTCGCGGTGCTGCTGCTGGTCGCGCTGGTGATCCTCTGCATGCGCTGCCGCCCCAGCCGCAAGGACGCCTTCCAAGACGACCTCGCTGATGACGCCGCCCGCCCAGCCTTCCAATGTGAGATGGGGGGAGGGAGTGGGGGGGAGGGGGAACGGAGGGCGGGGAGTTGGGTGGACAGTGGGAGAGTGGGAAGGTGATGATGGCATTGGGTTGGGACGCATACCAAGACGACCTTGCGGATGACGCTGCCCGCCCCGCTTTCCAATATGAGACAGGGGAAGGGGAGGGGAGGGGGGGGGGAGGGGAGGGGTGGGGAGGGGAGCTGGGGGAGAGGGAACGGAGCAGGGAGATGGGAGATGACGATGGCGTAGGGAATATCTCGGAGAGTTCCACCGAGCATCACGGTAGCGGCGTTGTGCTAGTAACCTGGTGTGTGCATCTTGTTCTGTGGTAAACCCTCCCCCCCCCACCTGGCCTGCACTCTGTAGCACAGCTCTGACCTCTTCAAACGCCGCATGCCCTTGGATTCTCCTCAACCTCTCCCCCTCCCCATTCCCTCCCTCTCTCCCTCCATTCCTCCCCCCGCCAGCATGGGCGAACGGGTCATCAGCCAAGGCAAACGGCGGCGCATCCTCCCGCAAATCCCAAGGCGTGCCAGCAGTCACCCTGGCCGAACTCCAGATGGCTACAGACGACTTCGCCCCGGACCGCCGGCTTGGTACCGACCCTCTGGGAACGACGTTCGTGGGCACCATGCCTGACGGGGTGGAAGTGGCCGTGAAGAAGATCGAGGCGTCGGTAGTGGAGGGGCAGTCGGACGAGGACTTTGTAGCGGTGGCAGCGAATATGGCTCGGTTGAGGCACGCGCATGTGGTGCAGCTGCAGGGGTATTGTGTGGACTATGGGGAGCGGATCCTGGTGTTCCAGCACTGTGCTGGGGGGAGTCTGTATGACCACCTGCACAGGAATGACGATGACAGCTCGCAGCTGCTGTCGTGGGACGACCGCGTGGAGATCGCGCTCGATGCCGCTGAGGCGCTCGTGTGAGTGGGCAGGGTTGGGGAGGGGGAGGGGTGGGGAGGTGTGGAGAGGGGTTTGGAGAGGTGTGGGCTGAGGCAGTAGTGCCGCCGCCTGAGTGCATGGAGGGGGAGCGCTGCTTGAGTGCTGATTAGCTGATAAGCTGCAAGGGAGAGTGCTCTGTGTGTGAGTGCGATGTTGGTGGAGGGGGGAACCACTATCCCCTTCTGTCTGTCTGTGGAAGGAATAGTTTACAGGAGCATACAAACAACATCTCCTATTAGAAAGTCTTTCCTGCTTCTAACCTCTTCTTCTATTCCCTCTCCCCCACCTTCTTCCCGCACCACAGCATAGGTGACTGTTGAGTCAACCCAGAAGTGTCCCCCCCCTTCCCCCCCTTTCCCCCCCTCTGTTCCCTGCACCAGGTACCTGCACGCGGAGTGCATGCCGCCCGTCGTGCACCGCAGCACCGGTGACGTTTGAGTCGACTCAAATGTCCCCCTCCCCCCCTTCCCCTCCCTGCACCAGGTACCTGCACGAGGAGTGCATGCCGCCCATTGTGCACCGCAGCATCTCGTCGCGCAACGTGCTGCTCGACTCGTCGCTGCGCGCCCGCGTGGCAGGGGCAGGGCTCTCCTTCCTCAACCCCGTCGGCACGGACGAGAAGGTGCACCCCGCTCTGCCCCGCCCGCGCCACTGCCCCCAATGCTGGATATTCAATGCACAATATTCAGAGCTCCCTGCTCCAACGCTCATCATCCCTGGTCTATGCCCTTACAACCCATTTCCAATCAAGGCCCTGCACACATTTCTTTTTGTTCTCTCTCGAACGGTCTCCCTCTCTCTCTCTCTCTCTCTCTCTCTCTCTCTCTCTCTCTCTCTCTCTCTCTCTCTCTCTCTCTCTCTCTCTCTCTCTCTCTCTCTCTCTCTCTCTCTCTCTCTCGCTCCTGCCCTCCCTCTGTCCACCAGTCGCTGTCGGACCAGCTGGTGGGCGGCTTTGCGTACAACGCGCCCGAGTATGCGATGTCGGGGATCTACACGGCCAAGAGCGACGTCTACAGCTTTGGCGTCGTGCTGCTTGAGCTCCTCACAGGCCGAAAGCCCGTCGACCCGTACGTGTGCTGCCCCCACCTCCATAACCTAGGGGCCTTCCCTGTGCCGCACTGAAGACTAGCTCACTGGCAGATCACCCGTCGACTGTGCGTTCCCTTTGTTGCGCTGCACTTGGGGCTAGTTCACCGGCAGAAAGCCCATCAGCCCGTACGTGCATGTCCCCGCCACACCGTGCGTCGCTGGAATGGTTACATTAACGGCATGGTGTGGGTATGGTGCCACACACGGTGTGTCTTTGGCTTGGGCTGACTTGCGGGGATGGTGTGTGGCACTGATGTGGCTCAGGAAGGATGGTGTCCGTGGCTTTGCACATGTTGTAGTGTGCTGATTCCAGATTGGGAATCACCTTTCTCTCACCTCTCTCCCACCCTTCTTCCCCCCCCCGCACCCCTCCACTCCCCAGCTCGAAGCCCAAGTCGGAGTCGTCGCTGGTGCGGTGGGCAGCGCCGCTGCTGCACGATGTGACGGAGCTGGAGGCGATGCTGGACCAGCACATCTCGGGCCCGCTGCCGGACGTCTCCAAGCTCACTAAGTTTGCAGAAGTCATCACCCGCTGCATCCAGGTGAGTGTGCACTCTTCTCGTGGGATGGGGCGGAGTGCTCGAAAGCAGTGCGCCTTATGCTTTTATTTATGGTTCGTATCGGTTTGTAGTGGCCCCTCGCCCTCATCTCCCTCTCACCCTCCCCCCCCTCTCCCCCACTAATGTATCTTGCGACGGCTCTTCCTCAGCCTGAGCCGGAGTTCCGGCCATTGATGTCCAAGGTTGTGAACGATCTAAACAAGATCAGGGGGGCTCGTAGAGATGATGCCTCAGATGCATACTGATTAGTGACTGGCCTGTAACTGGATTGGAACAGCGAGGAGCATTGTCATCCTGCTAATGCCTGCATGGATGAGTTCCTGCTAGCAGTACCATGTTCGAGCGCTATGCCTCCTATGTTTGATGTTTGAGTTGGCAGTAGGACTTGATTTAGATGGAGTGACGTAGGTGAGACATTGGATCCAACATGGTGAATTTATCGCCAAGGAAGGGATAAGGATGCTGGCATTGCCTTTTGTGGGTATGCTTCCATGTTCCATGGTTCCTCATTCAATATAGGGGAAATAAATTGGCACTCACCTTAGCGCGCTATCTAAACAAAATTAGTGAGGTTTCAAGAACACGGTGAGCTCGAACAGTGTGCACTGCAATTTCACGTGGTGCATGCTGCTGGCGCAAGACATTCACCCCCGCTTGCGAATCCACCAATCACCCGCAGTGGCGCGAATGCTCCAACAGAATTTCCCTTTGACGTTGATTGGTGGCCGACGACGTCAAAAGGCCCAGGGCGCGCTCGAGCCTGTGACATGACAACAGATGCAGCTGCCGACCATGTGGCCCGTGTGCGATAATTGGCGTGGCGACCCTCAGAACGATAGGCAGAATGGGTTTTTATTCGAGGCAGCCCTTTCAAGAAGTCTGGCGAAAGAGGGAGCGGAGGCTCGCCGTTTCGCCCGAGTCGCTCGTGTATTTGACCCTGTAACTGCAGCATCGTCCCGTTTCGCAGACGACAGCTTTCTTGGGAATGTCCCGTTGCCAATCAACCCGTTCGTCAACCTCTCTCCCTCAGCTCCCCTTTCCCACCCCGCCACCCCCCCATTCTTCCTGTGAGCGAAGGGAAATACTAGCAGTCAGCCATTTGGGCTCGTAGAAAATTGGCTTCTCAAGCACTTGATTTAGAACGCGTAGCTTTCGTTCTTGTCCGCCCCATACTCTCTCCTCATCCCTCGCCTTCCAAGCTTCCCATGGCGGCGAGCAGGAAACCCTCGAGCACGTCCTCCGACAAAACGCCATCCTCCAACCCGAAACCAGTGCCATGGGGAAGCGTGCTCGTCACAATTCTGCTAGTTGTGCTCTTCTACGCGCCGCTAATTGCGATGAGTCGTCAGATTATCTTCGGAAGGCGAATTCTCCCGCGGCCGGCTGCCTCTACGCCGGTCGACCAGTTCAGTGAGGAGAGGGCCATGGTCCACGTGACGAAGCTGGCGGGCGACATAGGCGACCGGCAGGTGAGAGAGACACAGCGAGGGGATTCTCAGCTGGAACGTGTTGGCAGCTGGTCGATTCAATTCCGTGTCGGGGAACTTCGTTTGTCTTCTCGAGGGACAAAAGAGACCTCAGAATTCAGAATTGAATAAAGCCAGAAATATACGCTGTTTGAATATGGAATCGTCTCCCGAGATTCTGCGAATAATTGCGTTTCTGTTCACTAGTCCAACCGTGGAACGACCGTACCGCATGGGAGAGAATTGGAAGTCGCCCTGTGACTAGTCCCGCACCCGCAGGAGGAGGGGGGGGGATTATCTGCGAACACCACCCTGTGTCTTACTTGAGCCACATGTTTAAGCTACGTTTGCCTGTCGGTACCTGGATTCTGGAGCTTTACCGTGTGGCTAAACGCTTTATGTACATGTGCAGGAGGGCACACAAGGCTTGGCGGAAGGCGCCAAGTATATTCTGGCGGAGGTTCAGCGACTTCGGGCAAAAGCCAGTGCGCGCCTCCGGTGAGCCGCTCAACAGCTGCTGGTCGTATCGTCGTTCACCTCCTCGTGCAACGCATCCTATTGCTCCTCTCGCTCCTCTCGCTCCTCTCGCTCCTCTCGCTCCTCTCGCTCCTCTCGCTCCTCTCGCTCCTCTCGCTCCTCTCGCTCCTCTCGCTCCTCTCGCTCCTCTCGCTCCTCTCGCTCCTCTCGCTCCTCTCGCTCCTCTCGCTCCTCTCACTCCTCTCACTCCTCTCGCTTCTCTCGCTTCTCTCGCGCCTCTCGCTCCTCTCCCTCCTCTCCATCCATCTATCGCTGTAGCCTCTCTTCTCTCTCAATTCTCTCGTTTTAATGTTTTATGCTTTCATGCTCACTTCTCTCAACACCATCCCTTGTCTACCCTGGCTCTTTCTTTCCTCTTTCTCCTCAACTTCCCCCCCTTCTTTTCTCCCCCATCCCTCGCTATCCCCCTGTCACCCTCCTCTGTGCTGCTGGGCACTCTGGCTCTCTGGGCATGCTGGGCGTGCTGGGCTCTCTGGTCTCTCTGGGCATGCTGGGATGGGTGGGGGCAGGGTGGAGGTGGAGGAGAGTCGTGTGAGCGGGTCCTTCAGCATGGTCTTCCTGCAGCGCAGCCTCTCCCTCGCCTACCAGAACCTCACCAACGTCGTCGTCAGGTAAGCAAGCACACCACCACCCCATGCACTCATGCTCGCCATCTGCACCTCCGCCCGTCCGTCCGTCCGGCCGTCCGTCCGTGCATCCACGCATTCAATCACTCGTCTGTCTGTCGCTCCAGCCGTGGCTCCACCCCACTCGCCCTGCATGAGTCTCCTTGGGCCCATCCATCTCAATCTGTAGACCCATCATAGTCCGCTTCCACCCACCCACCCAACCGCATTGGCGTCCGGTGCTTGTCAGAATATCCAATGCTGCAGTGGACCCGGACACCACGCCCTCTGTGCTCATGAACGGCCACTTCGACTCCGCCCTCGGATCCCCAGGAGCAGCTGACTGCGCCACATGCGTTGGTGCGCCCGCCTTTCTCACCTCCCTCTCACCTCCCTCTCACCTCCCTCTCACCTCCCTCTCACACCTCTCTCACACCTCTCTCTCTCACCTCCCTCTCACACGTCCCTCTCACACCTCCCTCTCACACCTCCCTCTCACACGTCTCTCTCACCTCCCTATAACCTCCTTATCCTCCGTGCGCACTCCCATGTACAACACTCCTTTCACTGCCCCTTTACCTAACGCACCCTCCTCTCTTGGGAATTCGTCTCTACCATGACTTGTACCGGTGGTTACGACCACTTCCACTGGTGGTTACCACCACTTATACTGGTGGTTACCACCTCGTCTACCGGTGGTTACCAGCACCTCTACTAGCAGCAGTGGCTTGCCTTCCTCCACTGCCCTTCACAACACCCTTTCCACTCTCCATCCCCATTCCTCTATCCACCATGCCTTGCTGCCGCGTGTCCACATGGCATATGCCGCGTGTCCCTGTGCTGTGTCTTCCTGTGTGCTGCCCCCTCTCTGTGCTGCTGCATGCCCGCCCCGCCACCCACCCACCAGCGGCGATGCTGGAGGTGCTGCGGCTGTATGTGGAGGCAGACCGCACGCCCACTGTGCCGCTCGTCTTCCTCTTCAATGGCGGCGAGGAGGTCTTCATGAAGGTGCAACGCACTGCGCTTTCTCTTCGTCGTTATGTTTCGAGTCTCCCCCCCTCCCTCCCTTCCCTCCCTGGTGACATGAACATCTGTCGCTTGATCCATGCCCTCCGTTCTCCTCTTTCCTGCTCTCCCCCATGCCTCCATTCTCCTCCCCTCGCGCACACGTGTACACCCCCGTGTACACACGTTTGGATACACAAACGCATGCACACACGCATACTCTCACAAACATATGCACATACGTGCACACATACTTCCCCATGCACACACACTCTCACCCATCCCCGCACCCGCCCATCCCCCCAGGCGTCGAATGGGTTCACTATTGAGTGAATACTCAAAGCATTCACTCAATGCCTCACCCTGCCCATCCCCCCAGGCGTCGCACGGGTTCATCACGAGGCATCACTGGAGTGAGACGGTGGGCGCCATGGTCAATTTCGAATCCACGGGGACAGCGCTGCCAGGTGCGCTGCAGGCGGCTCATTGGTGTCAAGGAGTGTGACTATCGCGTGTGTCTGCGTGCCATGCTTGACTTGACTGTGGACGTGTGCCTGTGCGCCCTGTGTGCCTGCCTGTGTGCGGATTCGTGGATGCAGTTGTAAATTCTCACACAGCTTTGCAGCTCTTTGTGATTATTTTGTGGATCCGTCGTCGCGTCATTGTGGATACTCGTTGGTGCATGGAGATGTGCACATGTTCTCCAGCCCTCCTTAAAGTCACCACTCTAACCTTCTCTTACCTTCCCTGCATGCTTCCCTGCATGCCTCCCTCCCTGCGTGCCGCCCTGCATGCCTCCCTCCCTGCGTGCCGCCATGCGTGCCGCCCTGCGTGCCGCCCTGTGTGCCCATGTGCATGGTACGAGCAGAGATGGTGGTGCAGAGTGGGCCTGTGTTCTGGCCGCAGCGTGTGTACGGCAAGACTGCCGTCTACCCCTCCTCCAGCGTTGTGTGCCTTGTACGTGTGCTTCTCTCGTAACCATGCCGTCCTTCGATCCTGCCATTGTGTTGTCATCTTCCCATTCTGTCATCATGCTCATATTCACTCGATCATGCCATGCCATGCCATTGTCGTACAATCGAGTCAATCATTCCATCGTGCCCTCGTTTCATCCTGTCGTTGTGCCGCCATGCTGTCATCATGCAATTCCGCCATACACGTCTCATCCGCTACCCCATTAGCAAGCACCACCACCCGCACGCAGGTCAGCCATCTCCCATCCGCCACGCATGTTGCACATGGTACATGCACGCATGTGTGTGTGCCTATAAATGGCATCCGGCGCATGTGTGCCCGGCTTCTTCACCTGTGTGCCCATGCGATGCGATATGTTGGGATGCATGCATGCATGTGCAGGACATTTTCCCGCACGTGCCAGGCGACGACGACTACCGCATGTTTTCGCACGACTTTGACGACGTGCCCAGCCTCGACAGCATGTACCTGCTGGGCGGCACATACTACCACACCTCTCGGGACTCTCCAGAACATGTCATGTGAGCCACGCCATTTAAATCTTGTAATGTGAGCCATGTCATGTGACCCGTACCAATGACCCATGCCATGTGAATCATGTCGTGTGGGGCAGTGTGGGTGGCTGGTAATCTATCCATGCTGTCACATGCGTGTGGGCGTCAGCAATGGAGCGATTTTCCATGCTGCTTCTCTCCTCCTACGGGCCTGAGTGATTTTCTTGGTGAAGTAGGAGGATACATAGATGTACTTCACCACATGTATCCCCATCCCTCTTCGCCGCCTGCGTGCTTTTCAAAGAAGCCCTCACACTATGTATCAGAGAGCACCACACGTAACGTCTCTTCGCCCCTCATACCGCTCTCCGTCTCGTATCACTCCACCCCTCTGCACCCTGCAGATAAGAGGGGAGAATCCGCTGCCACTGCTGGAGGGGCTCTCCAGAGGTTTTTTTCCACTGAAAGAACTCCTCTCCCCCACCCCCCCTCTCCTCGGCGCGCAGGCCAGGAGCCCTGCAGCTAAGAGGGGAGAACCTGATGCCGCTGTTGGAGGGGCTCTCCCGGGCACCAGAGCTCAAGACGCGCGCGCAGAGGCGCATGGCCGCATGGTCTGAGCCGCGCACTTCAGGCAGTCCCACTGTTGGTGGGGGTGGGGGTAGGGGTGCTGCTGGTGGTCGTGGTAGCGGTGGCAACAGCACGGGGGCCAGCATGCCCAAGGACATACCCGTTTTCTTCGACCTCTTTAACATGCGAATGGTGTGTGCTCCCTGCTCCGTCCCCCCCGTCCCCCCCCATTACTGCCCCCCTCGTCCTTTTCTTGGCGTTCGAAACCCTGCAAATCTGGATTCCCCCACCCCCCAGTATCTTGCATACCCCGTCCGCCCTTTCCCTTTCCCCGCCTCCCTCCCCATCCCTCTCCCCTCCTCCCCCCCCCCTTTTCCCATTCTAACCGGCTTCACTCTCACCCTCTCCTCCCCCTCCCAGCCATCAGGTGATGTACCCTCGTGCAGTGGCCATTGCCTTGAACATGGTCCTTTGAGACGTCTCAGAACCAGCTTTCATCCTACCCTCGACCTCCCCCCACTCCCCCCCACACCCCCCCCGCTCTCCCCCCTTTATCAACCACCAGGTGATGTACCCTCGGGCAGTGGCCGTTGCCATGAACGTGGTGTTCTTGGCAGCGCTCTTCTTCGTCCCCTCGCACACCACTGCAATTAATTCCGGCCTTAAAGATGCCTCCCACCGCGCCCAGCACATTCGATCGGGTGAGGCGTCATGTCCTTTTCATTGTCTTCACCACCGTTCCTGCTGATCTGCCTTTCATTTCATCCTCCTTCCCTCCCCCCTCTCCCTTCCCTTCCCCATTCCTTTCTTCCCCTCTCCTGACGGACGGCTGCTTCCCTCCATCCCTCCCTCTTCCCCACTCGTAATACCTAATTCTATAGTCGCCGTCACCACTACCCTACGGCTCCTAGCCCTGCGCGCCCCATCCCCTCGTGTCCCTCCCGCCCCTCCCCTGCATCATCCGGCCACTGCATTCCCTCGTCCCTATCGCCTCCTGACCCACCTTGAGAGCCACTGCATCTTCTCATCGCCTCATCTTCTCATCTCCCCGTCTTCTCTTAAACTCGGAACAGGGACATTTACGAACTGGCCTCCTGTCTTCTCTCTCCCAGCAACCTCCTCACTCACCACCCGTCCCACCGTTGTCGTCCCGTGCAGCCTTTCTCACCTACTTTGCGGGCTGGCTGCTGTCTCTCCTCGTGCCCATGCTCGTGGCTGCTCTGCGCGTCGCTGTCTCCGGCCGCCCCATGACCTGGTGAGCCCAGGGGCGAAAGGAGACACACACACATGAGGTGGTGAGCTGAGGGGCGGACAGCAGCATGCATGCATGACGTTGGGGACAGGGAGGGTGGGAGCTGTAGTGCTCCTGCGGGTGGGTGGGTGGGTGGTTGGGTTGGGGGGTGTTGCAGCGGACGGTGACGCAAACACACAATATTTATGCGATTTCAAGAGAGGGGCACCACCCTGTGCGCATGTCAGCATGGATTCTGCAGCAGCCATGCCAGGCATCCACTCTCCGCCACAGTGCCATGCCGCCCCATCTCCTCCTTCCCATCGCCCTTCCTTCCTGTGCTGGCAGGGAAACGGCTTCACATCCAGTGTAGCCATGTACTCAAGCATCCCTGGATGCTCTTTTCTGTTACGCATGTGCTCACACACCGTCCCATCCCCCACCCCCACCCCCTCCCTTCCCCTTCCCTCCCTTCCACTTCCCTCCCCCGCTCCTCCTCCCCCCAACCCCCCCCACCCCGTCGCGGTGGCAGGTTTTCCCATCCCCTGTACGCGCAGCTGATGTTCTTCCCTGCAGCCGTATTCGGGCTGCTGCTGCCGCACTACATACGAGCAGGGGGGACCCTCACCAAGCCTGCATCCCTCACCCACCAGCAAGAGGTGCCCCCACCTTCCTCCCTCACTCCGTCCTCCCTCCTCCCTCGCTCCTCCATCACTCCTCCCTCCATCCTCCCTTCCTGTGAGGCTAGGGCTTTGTCGTTGGGGACCTACAAGGAGTTTAGAAAGAGTTTTTTTGTCGATGTAGGCGGAACAAGCAAGGCGAATGCCCTGTGAGACCGACTCTGCTCTTTCTCCCTCTAAGTCGTTCGTTGCTTCTTGTCTGGGAATCATCGACCTTTTCCTTCACACTCCATCTGCCTGCCTGCCCACCCGCCCGCCCGCCCGCCTGCCCGCTTGCCTGTGTGCCTGCCTCCCCCCCATGCAGGTGGCCTTTGTGTGGTCATCGCACTGGGGATGCATCTCTTTTAACGTCGCCCTCTGTGCTGTGAGCCCCTGTCCACGCACCACACACCACACACAGACCCCTTCCCTCCTGCCTTCTCTTGACCTCTCTCACACACACGCTCGCACACAGGCTCGTGTACATGCACACACGTTAACACATGATTCTGACAGCTGAGCGCACCCAATCCCACATGCATACACATGCGCATATGCAGACGTCCACACCCACCTCTCGCTCGTCTCCCTGTTTTACTCCCCCCACACCCCCCCCCTCTCCCCCTCTTCCCCACCCCCCCCACTCGACGATATGCCACTAGTTGGTGATGCATGGTTTTGGTGGCAGTGGGGGCTTCATCAACTGGTGGTGGGCGCTGTTCATGCTCCCTGCTCTCCCCCTCTACACCGCGCTCCAAGCCACCCTCGGCAAATCAAATCCCCTGTATAATGCTCTGCACTGCATTCACAATGCGCATTCACCACGCACTCGCCCTCCCTTTGCTACAGGAAGGGAGACCGAATTAAGAGGGATAAGGCAGGGAGATAGAGTCCCTGTGATTTGCTGTTGTGTGAACTCTCTCAACTGCCGATTCTTTCCCAGTCAATTCCCCCCTGCTGCTGCCTTCGCTTCTGCTGCTGCTGCTGCTGCTGAAACCCACCTTGCCAGCCCTCCCCTCGTTTCAACGCCATGCCCAATCCTTTTCCACACTCCCACCCTTCGTTTCCCTCCCACGTGTTCCCTATCCCTCCCTTTCCCCTATTCTCAGAGCTGTGTTGGGCTACCTGCTGCCAGGCGCCCTCCCTGCGGCGTTCTCCGCCACCTTCTCTGTCTTCTTCCTGGAGTTCATCTCCGAGAAAATGGGCGCCACTGGCACTGCGCCTCTCCCCTTTGGTGCGCCTCCAGCTCTGCCTGCCGTCTGCCTCTGCCCCTCCCCTCCGCATCCGCTCTCCTGCAACTTCCTCTCCTTCCCCCGTCCCCCCTGCAACCTCATGTTTCAGTGCTCTCTGCAATATGCTGAGTCATTCATGTCGCTGGACTCATCGTCCATTTGTTAGTTTGGTTGTTTGGTGGGGGTTGCTTTGCTCTGCATGTTTGCCTGGATCCACGTTCCCCTTGTTGCTGCTGCCCCTCAATTCACTCCATCCTCTCCCTTTCACTTTCCCTCACTTGACCTCACTCTACCTCACTTCACCTCACTGTACCTCACGTACCTCTCTCTCTCCCTCCCCTCATTGCTCTCCATCTCTATTCCCCCCCCCCAACCCCCACCCTGCCTCCTCCTTCCCTCCTCATCCCCTCTCTTCCATCCGCCCTCGCCATCAGGTCCCTTACTCGCGGACATGGTGCGGGCAGCGTGCCCGGGCTTCTGTGCGTGTCTCCCCGTGGCGTTCTGAGACTGTCTCAAAAGTCTACCGTTATCTCTCGTCCCCTCACGCCCCCACATTCAGGTCCCTTCCTGGCTGATGTGGTGCGGGCAGCGTGCACAGGCTTCTGTTCGTGTCTCCCCATGGCGTTCTGAGACTGACTCAAAGCTCAATCGTTATCTCTCGTCTCCTTCCCCCCGTCGCCATCAGGTCCTTTTCTCGCGGACGTGGTTCTTGCGGCATGCACGGGCTTCTGTGCGTGTCTCCTCATGGCGCCCTATGCTGCCCTCCTCTCCCGTTGGCTCGCGCGCCCTGCTGTCCTGCACGCCCTTCTCCTCTCCTCCCTGCTCACTGCTGCCGTTACGTCCGGGCTCTTTCCTTATGCCCCCCACGCCCCTAAACGAGTCCTCCTGCAACGAGTATACCAGCTGCAAGGTAAGACCTCTCCCAGTACCTTGCCTTTTCAACGACCCGGTGTATATGCGTTAGACCCGGTGTATATGCTAGTAAGATGGTGGCAATTCATACAGTCATTTCTCACCCCTGCCATGTGAACTCTATCATCTCACCCGTGTGGTGTCGTCCCCGTCATCCCTCTGTCATGCATCAGGCGGCAAGGCAGTGAGGGCGGAGACAACAGTAGCGAGCGGCGACTCCAACGACGCCACCTTCACACTGCGCCATGTCCCGGCCCTCGCTCACTCCCTGGGCGTGCCTCTGCATGCCACGACCAACCTCTCTGTGCTCACCATCGCAAACCCGTCCAACCTACTGGTAACGACAGTTTTGTGACGTCTCGAAGCTAGATTCTTATCTCCCTGTGCGCGCTTGCCCACCCCACAACCTACCTCGCTTCGCTCGCCATCGCCTATCCGTCCAACCTACTGGTAATGGCATGCAATAACCTCTTACTACCGGTATTTGCCTTTCGAAATATCTCTCACCCTCCACGACTTTCGCTTGCTTACGAGTATCTGCTCTCCCTGTTCGCTGCCTTTCACTCTCGTACTCACCCAGACTCACTCATCACCCATTTTCGTTGCTCACTGGCATACCCGTTTCCCATAACCAACCCCTCCCCTCCCCTCCCCTCATCTCGCTTCTCCCTCTCAAGCGGTCCTTAGTATCGCTGGAACCTGGGTACAAGCTAGGCATTCGGGCAAGGTACAGGAACGGGGATGGGCTAGCTGGTCTAGACAGTCCTGGGCCTACAGAGGACAAACTCACCGCTTCCTGCTTACCTCCCTCCCTTCACCCCTGTCGGTCCGCGTCTCCCCCCCAGGCACTCTACCCTGTCTCAAGTCTCCTAGACCGCCCCTTCACCTTCCCCGCTCCTCTCTCGCCCCGGTTTGAAGACCCGCACTTCCTCCTGCCTTCCCTGCGCGTGCTGCACCAAAACACCTCCATCCCGGGGCATCAATGGGCCGGCGGTGTGGGCGCATACCTTGACAGTGAAACAGCGGCTGCTGGTAGTGGTGCTTCTGGTTTCAATGGGGAGCGTGGAGGTGGGAGGAGTCTGGAGGAGATGGATGAGCGGGAGATAGAGAACTATGGGTGGAACCTCGATGGGGAGGGGGATGGAGGGGCAGCACGGAAGAAAGTGGGGAAGCGGCGGAGAATTCACCTGGAGCTGACAGCAGGGTGAGTTGATCGGGCCATTCCAGTGGCTTTTTAGAAATTTTAAACGCCAATTCAACAGCAACGCAAGTTTGCTCGGCCCGTTGCGGTGGGTGCTTTACAACACATAGGTCTGCAGTAATTGAGATGACACATTTCCTTGTCGGCAAGGTGAGGAAAGTGTTGGCCTCTGGGTCCTTGTTCTGACATATTTCCTGCTCCGCTTGACTTCATCGCCATCCCGCCCTGCAGCCGTCACCTACTCATGCCAGTCCGTCCATGCATCTCCCCTGACTCTCTGCTCCACGGCCTCATGCCCCCTGTGCTCCCCATCCTGCCCTGCAGGTCGCTGTCCCACGTGTGGTCTGCTGTGCTCAACATCACCGGCCCTGTCACCCGCTGGTCCCTCACACCCACCCTGCCAGGTACGATTCTCTCTCTCGCCCCTTGCTGTGCAGGGTGCCCACGCACTCTCCACGCACTCTCCACGCACTCCCCACGCATGTCTCCACCACCGTGTTTCATGTCTCACATCCACTGCAGCTTCCCTCGATTCGTGCCTCTGATAATTTCTCCCGCATTCAACCACCTCGTTCCGGCACTGGTACTATCAACATGCAAGCAACTCCTCACCTGTAACTTCCCCTCCCTCCACAGCATCTGTTGCTCGTGACTCTCAATACCCCACCATCCACCTGCCACTAATTTCATTCCTCCATTTCCGTCCAGCTGTGCGAGTCGTATCCACCTTTCCCTCCAGACTTCGCATCCCATCCAGTATGCTGCACGTCTGAACAGCTGAATTGTTGAGTTGACTATAAAACCGACTTTTCATCCCATCCAGCTGCACATGTCAGCAACCCCCCTCATGTGCATCTGCACGGCAGCTTCGACTTCCATCCCAAATCCGTTTTCTTCCCCCGCCACCCCACCCATGGTCCCAATCATTGCAGCGCGGGAGAGGGTTGCCGGAGGACCGCCGTCTCTCATGGTGCATTACTCAGGGGCATTCCCATGGCAGCTGTGGCTCGAGGTGAGCTGCTGCTGCTGCTTTTGCACTGCTCCTCCTTTCGCCACCCGCTTGCGTCTGAAAGTCTGATCCCTTCCTCTTCTTTAGGAAAACACAACCCCCCAACCAACCACCCTGTCCTCTCCCAGAAACCCGTGCACCAGACACACAGAGAGACTCGCATACTTCCTCTTAAAGCAGCTCATCTGTCCACTCCCTTGCCTCCGCTCTCTCCACTGCACTGCACGCCTCGTGCAGGTGAGAGGGCGGCGCAGGATACGTATTGACCTGGCAGTGCTGGACCACGAGGTGGATGCTGATGTAGCAGAAATGAAAAGCCTCCTGCCAGACTGGACTGCTCCTATAGTGTCCTCTTCCTATGTTGCCCACTATATTGTGTAAATACACCTGGTAACTGTGAAGTGCAATTAGGAGGGTGCTATTACAACTGTGTAGGACACACACAGCTCAGAGATTGCATTGTGTTGTGCTGATGTGAGTTACAAATTGTTAATGTAATAGACGCTCATCTCATTGTCTGACAGGCGCACTGCAAGAGGAGCAAATTGAGAACACTGAGCTCAAAACTGCCAGCGCTCTGCTGCTCTGCTCCACTCCTCTGCCCAGTCTACCAGGCCTACTGTCTCCCAACCCTACCCAGCCTGCCTCTACTCCAACTCGTCTCCCCTTTTACGGTACTAGGTCACTATTAGTATAAACACATTCTCTAGGTATATTCCGAGAACACGTTCTGTCATTGCTGCTGTCATTTCCTCTTGCCTGCTCTCTTGCCCTCTCCCTTCTTGGGCACACCCTTCCCTCGTCTCTTCATGCGCTCTATTTTGAGCACTCGCCTGGCGACACAGAGAGCAGGGCAGGGCAGGGGAGGGCAGGGACGGAGGGGCAGTGGATGGGGGCGAGAGATAAGGGCGGACAAAAGAGCGGGCATGTATGCAGGCATGTGCAACGGGGAATAGCAAGGGGAGAACAGGAGTTGACGACGTGAGAACCCGAGTTAAAAAACACAGCAGGGGGGTACACGTTGGCTGGTGAAAACTGGCAGGACGCGTACGTGCAGTACTAGGAAATACGAAGGGGACAATTGTGGGGGAAACTGGAACAGCGACTGTGCGAGTTGTGGGGAACGGAACGGAGCAGCGTAACTGGTTCGAGCTGCGAGAGATCGACGACACGAGGAGGAGGAGCACAAAGAAGTACGTGGAACAGAGCGAATACCAGAAGCGAGTAGCTCATGGCATGACGGCATGGCGAAACCGTCGATCTGGCAGCTTCGGAATCCGCCGTTCCGGCAACAGACTCAGATTCGCTCCCCATTCGCAACAAGGCACTTTAAAGACTTTCACGACTTCCAAGACCGGACTGAGTGAGAGCGCAAGCAAGCGAGGATTATTACTTGGGTTCCGTGGGGTCGACGTAGAGCGGATCCATCTTCTGTACCGGCTCCGGGTACCACGCGAGCACCTTGTCGCCGATCAGCTTCTGGCTCAGCACCTTGTGCCCCGACCGCAGCCCGTTGCCGATCACGTTCCCGAATATCCGTGCTGACGCCTCCGCCACGCCCCTCAGGTGCGCCATGGTGGCGGAGCGGGGGAGACGGGGGAGGCTAGGGAAACTGGGGAGAGGAGGGAACGCGGCGTGATAAGATGGGGAGAGAAGTAGGGATGAGAGCAGGTGGGGACAGTGAGCGCTACAAGTTGCGCCGTTTGTAGCGTGGGTTGCGACGGATGCAGTGTCTCGTAGGGGAACGGATGGAATAAAAATTTAAGTGTTTATGTAGTGTGTAAAGTACTAATTCTATAAGAGTAACTGAATAAATCAATCAAGCATCCTTCAACAAGTTGAGTTGAGGGTCACGACGAATATGAATGGAATAAAATGGAGGAATACTGTGTTTTTTGTTGTTAGTAATTTGCGTCTCCGCTGAATCCGATGAATCTGATGATGTTCCCGAGGCCACCATGGATATTGTCAGAAGGTCTCTAGTGAAAGGTAGTGAGCTGGGCGGCAGCGCTAGCAGCGCAGTAGCTAGTCTCTAGTGCACGGAGGTGAGTTGCGAGGTCAGCGATAGTGGGAAAAGCGGCAACATTTGGGAACAACATGGGGAGGATTAGGCAGCCAGCAGAGGCGGCGGCGGGCGTGGAGTAGCGGGCAACTACCGCATCTAGGAAATCCTTCGCGTTTGCGACATCACTGAAACGCGGACGCTCAGACAGGGGAAGAGCATGACTAATGGCGAGTTGCGCTACAGCGTCGCGGGAATCCGAGACAGCACGAGCGAGGGCAGCGGCAGAGAAGGCCTCATGCTCAGGAGTGGTGGGATCAGCAGGGAGGGGATCAGGCGCGGGGGGGCGGGGAGGCAAGCCATCAACATGCACAATCAGAGAGTGCCCATCCTTGTGCTGACCTGTCAGGTGCCGACGAAGATCGACAAGCCAGACGTCGAAGTCGATCGCGTGTCCCTCAGCGTCAAGGTTGAGGACGGCGTCCGCTATCGTGCAGTCTCAGCGTCACAGCTCCATGACGCCTCAGCGACACAGCTCTACGACACCACAACGACACAGCGGCACGGCGGCACAGCGACACGACGTCACTGCAGTACAGGTACTCAGCGGTACGGCGGCAGGACTCTCCGGCGGGAAGCCCGGACGGGAAGGCCGAGCAGGGCGCACAGGGCCCGAGGCGCACAGCAGGCCGTCGAAGCGCACGAGGGGCCGGCGGGTGCGCAAGGGGCCAGCAAGTGCGAAGGGCCGGCGAGGCGCGCGAGGGGCCGGGCGGGTGCATAAAAGGCCGGACGGGGGCGCAAGGGGCCGGCGAGCGCGCGACGGGCCGGCGAGGCGTGCGAGGGGCCGGGCGGGTGCGTGAGAGTCCGGCCGAGAGCTCGAGGGGCCGGCGAGGCGTGCGAGGGGCCGGGCGGGTGCATGAGGAGCCGGGCGAGCGCGCGAAGGGCCGGCGAGGCGCGTGAGGGGCCCGACGGGCGCGCGAGGGGCCGGGCGGGCTACGCGATGGGCCGGGCGGGTCGCTAACGGGACGACGGGGCGGCTAGGGGCCAGCGAGTATGCGGGGGGGTGGGGAGGGGAAGGGGGGGGGGGGGGGGGGGGGGGGTGGCACGCTAGGGGCCTGCAGGTACGCGAGGGGCGGACGGGCGGCGGGCGGCGGGCGCGCTAGGGGCCAGCAGGTACGCGAGGGGCCAGCGGGTTCTCTAGGGGCTGGGACGCTAGGGGCCGGCGGGCACGCAAGGGGCCGGTGAAGCGCTAGGGCTAGGGTTTGTCGGAGTGGTAGGCTACGACGAGGGGCGGAAGCGGGTGGGCGGACCTAACCTACTATGATACCATGTTAGGATACCAGAATGACTAGAAGTAGGAGAGAACAAGGGAGATATAGGGTTGAAGTTGTACTCCCTAAGAACACGAGCCTATCTAGCCGATAACTACTACATATAAAAGATGTAGAAGCTGACACAGTCATCAGCATCAAAGCTGGTCAATACCAAGGGATATCCTGCTCAAGCAATCACCGTCAGTGGTTAAGCACAACGGATTGCATCATGATCAACAAGCTATCAAGACAACTTCAATGGCTGTCTGGAAGCATGGGAAAGTGTTCCTGTTTTTCTTTCAAGCGCCCATTCATCCCTACTTATCTGTCAGCAGACAACATCAGGGATCTCATCATCGCACGAAGTCAAGGATTTTCACAGACAGAAGACTAGGTTGTCCCTGAGGTGTCGTCGCCGCAGGCGCTCTCGGCTGGTCTGTTGTTCTCAAAAGCGAAAATGAACTTGTCGCCAGGGGAGCAGCCTCCGTCAGTGTCAGAGGGGGTTAAGTAAGTGGAACCAGTTAAATCGCCGTCGCCTCCACCTCTGGTGAAGCCGGTAGAAAGTGTCACACGGGAGGCCATGGATTCAGTGGGCCCTGCAGCTGCTGAAGTGGAAGGTGCTGCGGGGTCTTATGTAATGGAGGATGCGGACGAGGATGGTGACGGTTACCTCAGTGACGATCCTGACGAGGGTTCTGATTCTGCACTTACGGAAGAGGTTGCTGCGCTGGCCCGTCACCCGATCACCCTGCCAGTACCATTCGTGTATCTGGGGGAGATGGCAAGGATTAAGGAGACGGCTGTGCTCCTCATTACGCTGTGGCATGGTCGCCTGAGCTTCGGTGCTCCGGAGTCAACGAAGTATCAGGAGCTCCCACTGGCGTTCCTGTCAAAGCAGAGGTTTGGGAGGTTGCAAGCAATTTCTATTAACATCGATGATGCTGATTTCCTCAGGCGCCATATCGTTGATCATACCTGTTGGATGGCAAATGTCTCACACTGGGCTGTCAGTTCCTGGAGAACGCGGAGTATTTCAAAGAAAAGCTAAAGGCGGGGAGGATCGAAGTCCTTTTCAAGAGTATCCCTGCTGCGATCACCCCCGGAGATGCTGCTGAAGCTGCTTGTGTTTGTTCCAACAAAGAAATGCGCTACGATGGCTTTCTTGTCAGGCTCGTGTTTTCATCGGGTAGAGGATCTGGTCTCAGGACCAGACACGGACAAGATTCACAGTCTAGTGGTGCGTCATGAACAGGACCATTTCAGGTGGCGTCACCTGATTGAGGACCCGTTGCAGAAGGGGAAGATGCTCCGTGCCCACTACCCGAAGCTGTCCTGCACGTACCGCAAAGGAATGCACGCTGCAAAGAATCATGACGACTTCATGGTGGATCGTCAAGAGAACATCGCTAAGTGGAAGCTGTCGCTGGGGAAGGTTCATGAGATCAACGGTACAGGGTCCTCGCTCTTACCCTCTGCAAGCCCTTTTTCTTTCTCTCAATTGCTCTCCCTTGGACCGGTGTTGCCTGCTGTGTTGTCCGCCTTTTTCTGCTCTCTTGCATCACTCCCGTGTTCTACTGACCCTTGTCTTCCGCGCTCTCTGCTCAGCTGCCTCCCTGAAGTTGACAGGTCTAGTGAAGCCGCTTCTGAAGGATCAAGCGTTTGCTCTCATCTCGATGGGTCCCAGCAAGGAAGATTGGATCTGCGTCCAGGACGGCTGTGACAAGGCACATGGATCATCCTTTCAGCAAGCTTGGCGTTATATCACCTCTTCGCGTCATGGCACCGGCAAGCTGCAGCCTGGCGCCGTCACCCGCAGCAGCAGGGAGGGGGTCAAACTTCTGGTCATCAAGAAGGAGTTTGGCATTGGCGTCCCCGCTTTTCCGCGTGCTGCACCTAAGAAGTGAATTGCACCCGTCGCTGTGCTCGCTATCCTCTGCTGAGCTGTGTTGTTGTAGCTGTTTGTTCGCTTCCTAGTCGGTTGTCACCTTGGCTGTACTGCTTCACCTTCATCAACAACGTTGTCTCACCTGGCCCGTGGATGCTTGGGAGCCTCGAGTTGGTCCCAATATGAGTAGATCCAACAACCTCTCCCTCCATTGCCCCCTACCCTAAACCCAGGTCCACACAGCCATGGCCATCCCCCCCCATGACAGCATGGAGTGGACCTCAAAGGGCCAGTTCGTGAAGGTGAGCCCTCACGAGCGAGTCTTCTCTGACGTCTCGATCAGGCCTGGCGGCGGTGTGGGGGAGCCGTGGTATGGTCGTGTCCTGGTGCTTTTCCATTACCAGGACGGGGAGGTGGAGAAGCGCGGGGCGTTCATCCAGTACTACACCGAGGCGAAGAAGCCTTCCCCCATCACCGTGTGCAAGCGCCTGACGCCAACCTTGGGCATCGACAACTATGCCGTTGTGGATGTGGACAGCATCCTGAGCCTTGCACATGTGGTTCCGTGCTGCACGGACCCGAAGTACCGGCTCGTTAACCGGTTTCTTTTATGAACCACCGGTTGTGCTCTTATTTATGCATGACTTTGTTTAAGTTGACCTTCTTTTACAGGTTGACCATTGAGTGACTCGTACTGAACATGATACTTTTAGTTTGCAACGACAACCATTCATAATGCCCGCAGCAGGTGATGACCCCACTATTCATATATCAACAAATCCTATCTTATATATTTCCCACACATGTTTTATTTCATATATAAACAATTATAATAGAATATAACCAAAAAAACACAGGAGTGTACTACGATTGGGCAGACGCTTATCGCTTTGAAATCATAGGGTTTACACATCGTAGCATTTACGAAACATACATTTTACATTTACACCCCGCCAAATGTTACGCAAGCGTTCTGCGAATGGTATTTGAATGTTCTGCAATAGTCGGCATCCTCGCTCCACCTCGAATGGTTTTTAGATTGCCACTTTTTTGCGATGAGGTGGTTCAGGAAAGAAGGGAAAGCGCGCAACTCACAGGGAAAAGATACAAAAGTTGACCAGAGGTCTCTACCCGTGCTGGCTGTATGAACGGTGCAGGCTGTATGAATACACAGTGACCTTCTTTTGCTTGTCTGAGCTCTCTTTGCGAGCGTGCACCATCGCATGCATTTCTTCCGTTTCTGTGTACAAAGGCGAGCAGACTCTAGCCAAAAGGAGATGGTAATCTGTGTGGGAATTAAATGGCAACCATTGGCGCACACATCGACTCATGCATGCTTAATCTACTCTACTTGGTGCTCTTGCATGGGTGATCGCATGCACTTGCTCATGCAGGACAGTGGACTGTATCCGGAATGGTGGTGGACCCGTCCCCGCTGAGATGGCCAAGCTCTCTC